GAAAAACAACCATTAAAAAAGCCATTAAACTAACCCAAGCATCTTGACTGAACTGGATACGGGAGCAATTACAATGCTGGCAGATTGGGTAGGAGGGGGCAATCCTGGCTCGGCCTCAGCCAGCACAGGACGTGTGTTCTCATCCTGGCTGTGCAGCTCTGCTGGTAGGCAAACGCCTCTCAGGCAACACAAGAGGAAAACATATCAGTTGTTCTGTTCACAGGCAAAAGCAAATCCTGAATATAGAGTTTCATGCGCCCTCTCAGGTCCTTCTGGAGCAGCGTTCAGTGATGCACAGACCTCTGAGACCCTGTAGCAGCCAGCACAGGACGTGTGTTCTCATCCTGGCTGTGCAGCTCTGCTGGTAGGCAAACGCCTCTCAGGCAACACAAGAGGAAAACATATCAGTTGTTCTGTTCACAGGCAAAAGCAAATCCTGAATATAGAGTTTCATGCGCCCTCTCAGGTCCTTCTGGAGCAGCGTTCAGTGATGCACAGACCTCTGAGACCCTGTAGAGTTACAGTGCGACGTATCTCTGTACCGCCCTGAGCTGGCTGTACCTGCTTGGGATGAGCTGTGTGCATGAGTCGTGCCGGGACATCAGTCAGGAGAGGGATTTTTGGAGCAGCATGCTGGCTGCTGTGTTGGGAGGCAGTGTGAACACGTGGTTGGAGAGGCTTGGCAGAACTGCAGTATCCTGAACCGCAGTATGAAGAGGTAAGGGATGAGGCAGGGAGCAGTCTTACCTTTTTAGCAGGATCTAAACCTCTTTCCCTGACCCCAGACATGCAAGCAAAGGAGGCGATTGCTTTGTTGCTGAGATCTGGAAGTTGTGTCAACAATACAGCATTGGGGTTTTCCTGCCTTGGGTGCTATAGGTGGGAGGGCATGAGAGAGCTCTGCACCTTCAGCCACGGGTATGTGGGCTGGAGCTAACACAAGGTGGGTAAGAGAAGTGGTTGTTAAATGTTGTAACTGTGGGTTTGTTCTGCCAAGTAGCTGCTTGAGCAGAGAACAAAGGTAGGTGGTGGCATGAAGTCCTCACACCCTCTCTGAGCTGAGGCAGGACTTGTGTTTAGGTGCTAGGGTACTCCCATGCTCAGCATCCCAGAGAGCTGTTTTATCTAGAGGGAGAGCTGCAGATGGGTGGAATGGGTAGATTATGTTACTTGGTAAAAGAAGACAGAGATAAAGGTTATTCTGGTGCGTAACTAAACTCTTCATTCCCCTGGAGATTCAGTTACCAAGCATAACATTCTTGTGGGGAAAAGATAATGAAGACCTTGTTTGGCTTAGAGGCAAGGCAAAGCAGTCTACTGATTTTTGGTGGTTGTATTTGTTTCTTACAGAAACCATTTTAGTGATGTTTGTGACCGGTACGGCCAGTGTGTGGCTCTATGTCAATGTGGACCTATTCCTAAGTAATGCTGTTTCTGCCCAGCTCTGGCTGCAACCTTCATTGCAGATCTCAAAGCTCTCTTTGTTTTTTTTCCCACTGAGCAATTTAAAAACCTGAGGCACACAGGGGTGAAACATTTCAGTTACAGGTGTATATGGTACCTGCCTCAATAGGGTTAATGCATCAGTAGCCAGCCATCACTCTCCTGCAGCGGGGCTGCCGCAGTCATGTCCCTGGCTTCCCTACCTGCTTCCTTGCCTCACTGGAGCTCATAATTTTGTTTTGCGAGATTTGCAGAGGGCTAAATCTGGGCCCAGAAGTGTTATTTTTAGAGTCTTGAAAATAGGCTAATGTACAAAAAAAGATTTTTCTGACAGTTTAATGAACCATTTTTGGATTTGGGGGAGGAGAGGAGGATGGCAGTAAAATGGAGGGGCTTTTCATATCATCTCCTTAGTCATATAAGGGGCAGAGGGTCCATCTATGGCGTTAGCATCCTCCCAGAGCTGCACGTGCATTGTCCCATCCCATTCTTCCCCCCGAGCTGTTTCCAAAACTCCTCTTTCCTTATTCACCCACTTTTCCTCCCTCCTGCCACCCCTTGTCCTTTAGCGCTGCCCCAGATGTCTTCTCCTGTGCCTGCTGCCTGCATCGTCAGCTGCACACAGATTGCATTTCCCCAAATCAATTTTAAGGAGCCATTGATGGAGGTGGATTTCAGGAAAATGCCAACCGTTCATTTCTTGGTTTCTGCCAGAACAGGTTTCAAGTGTTCACGTTCCAACTAGGAGGCTCATTCAAGGTCTAGAGCTGAGCAGATGCTGTAAAGACTAGCACACCAGAGAAGTGTTTCTCCTGGGCTTTCTGACGATGTCTGTCTCAGCCTTTTGGGAAGGGTGACTGTTATCCAGGGGTGATGTGCTTGCGCCGACTTTGAAATCATGAAGGCAGTTGGTGCTGCGTTACCTGAGGTAGGTCGTGTGGTTGAGGTCAGCTGGGGGATGGGGAGAATGACAGTTTAGTCCTCAACTCTGTACCAAAATAAAAAAGGGGGGAGGGGGAGGCAATGGGGCAGAAGCTGTTGACCTTCAAGTGCTGTGCTTCCAGGAGGCCATCCATCTGGTGCCCTGTGTTGAAGTGAGTGCAGGTTTGGATCGCTAATCCTTTCCTCAGACCCTGGGGACTCCATGTTTCAGAGAGTGCGAGTGAGCAGATGGATTTTATTAGCCTTAGAAGAGCCAGTTTTTAAACCGAAAAAGCTTTCAACCTTGTCTTTAGCAGAATGGTGTTGACATGGAGGTCTTTGTCTTTCATACTGCTTGCCTCTTCCCTCCTTCTCTCCCCCACCTGCAGTACAGTGTTTAAAACCCACCTGAGCACTGCTCACCTAGTGATCACAGCAGCTGTTTGTCATATGGAATACTTTCTACATATCTTACCTCATATTTGTTTTGGCTTAAGATATAACCCAGTCCTCCAAATGTTTACCGCTGGACATGCTCCCGCTGACATCTGCAGGAAAGCAGCGAGTCCAGCTGTTGACCAAAGTGATCCTAGCAGCAGCTGCTGCCCGTTTGGGGTACGGACCTTCTCAAAGAAGTTGTGATCGTGTCCTGCATGCAGAGTGTATTTTTACTAATGTTCTTCCAAGATAAAAGGCCACAAAGATGACCACCACTTACGGACTAATTAGCCAGAAGCCTCCGTCACATTTGGCATAGTCCAGATGTTATCCTGCTAATTTCAAGGCTGTTACTCAAGCGCAAAAACTGACACACAGGAGTTGAGAGTGGGTCTGCATCACAGGCTTTTGTCGGGGAGGCCGTCAGTCAGGTCTTTGATGGGATGTGTGATCTTTGGCCAACACAGCTGTGCTGACAAGAAGTCCTCAGCGTAGACTTCTATTAGTTATACCAGCAAAACCTTGTTTTTACTGGTATTGCTGACGTAGGGGAGAAGAAGCTTTTCTGCAAGTTGAGTGCTGCCAGTGTGAGCTCTGTCAATGGTGACCTCCCTTTACCCATCCTGTAGACCCCAGTCCAACTGCTCTGGCAGCCTTCATGGTAAGAGCTGGCCTAAGTAGGTGCAGTTGTGAGGTACCTGTTAGGAAGTCAGGACTGTGCTTGCTTTTTTTTTTTTTTTTTTTTGAAGAGTCTTTTGAATGCATTTTTTTAAAATTTACATGTTATTCTCAAGAAGGCTTTGATCTTATTAACCTTTTCATCTATGCCTCAGTCTGTTGTGTGAAAATGCTGGAACGTGCTTTTATTGTGGCATGGGGTTTCTTCGTTTTTTTTTTTTTTTTCATTTTTTTGCATAGTTTAGAGAATTTTTCTTCCCTGAGGCTCTCCCTCTGGCTTGATCCTACATGAAAGTTGACCACAGACGTGTCAGGTTCTAGGGTGCCACTTTAGGCCATGTCTTTGAATTTTCCTTGCAGGGATTTCCTGATATCAAATTAAAACAATTCTTTCTCTTTCCTCACATTAAGATAAAGAAAGCATTTTGGGCGAGTCTGCACATTCAGTTGTGAGCAGACGTGAGCTCTCTCTGCCTACCTCCACCAGGTGGGATGGACGCCAACTTTAAGCACAGTCTTGTGGTTGCTACAGCCTGAGGCAGAATCTAGACTGACTTACCTGCTCTCTGTCTGTGTTATTAGGTTGAGCAACTGGTGTGCTGCTGTGGTTGTGGTCATTTGGCCATTTCAAGGCATGGGCAATATGATTAAATCCGTCTGCGTTTGGCCATATAGACTTAGCCTTAATCTTGGTCAATTACATATGTTCTTCTCCCCTAGTTCTTACCATAGGTTTAGACCTCAGGTTATGCTTTCATAGTTACAGCCGTGCTTTCCTAAAATGTCCATCTGCTCGTGATAGCAGCTGTTCTTGTGAAAACCCTTGTGTAAGTGCAATCATATCTATGAAAAGTAATGCCCCGTGATATAACTTTAACCCAAGGGAAAGTGGAGGAGGGGTCATTTGGCAGCCAAAAAAAATTTGAAACTGTACGTCCTATACATGCCTATCAAAATAGAACCTTTGTACCAAGTCACTACTACTGAGCCAAATCAGGATCTTTGCAGTTGTTAGACCCTCATTGAAGACAGTGGCGTGACAAGGTATCCTTTTTAACTTTCCTCAGTGTAAACTAGAAATTGCTCTACTTAATAATTGATAGCATCATGGTAATAGTTGATCACTTCAGCTGGGAAAGGAACTAATCCCTTTGGTTCTATATGTAACTGTGAGAGAGTTTGACTTGTGATGATGGGCTGGGGAGGAGAAGGTTGGAGCATGAAAGGCAGCCGCCTGGGAAGTGTGCTGCCAAAGCACGCAGCCTGCTTTGCACAGCCTCTCCATTGCAGACATCCTTGCTTTAAACATTTCTGCATGGCCCAATGGTATGCTCGAGGACTGCACCAAGGTCTCTCACATGCTGTGCGTTGACCTTTCAGAGGCTGAGACACTAGGCAGTACCTCAAGATCTTCGAATATTTGTTATCCTTGATATCGTTGACCCATTGCAGGTAAGTGTAAACTTCTTGGTTTATGAAAACATAATGGATTTCTTTTTCTACCTCTATCCTTTGCCTAGGTCCTGAGGGAGACTAATAAACTGGCTGAAATGGAAGAGCCACCTTTGCTACCAGGAGAAACCATTAAAGACATGGGTATGTGAAGAGGAAATTCCTTATTGTTTGCTGACCAAATAGAATATCCATAGAGCAAAATATCTTGGCAGTCATTGACCAACAACAGCAAATTGCTGATGTTTTGAGAACCATGATCAGGTTGTTTCATTAATCAAGTTATTGCACATCACGTGAGCCAAGGTAACTATATGTCTCCTTAGCATGTAGCAAATACAAGGCAATTCAACATACCTTAGCATGAGTGTTGAGATGGGTTGTACAGCTTCGCATTTGCTGCCTCCTGAGAGGACATGGATCAACTGTTTCAAGTTGTGCTTGCCACAAGGTAACTTCGGAGGTTGACACAGCGCAATTGTGTGTCGAATTTCTATCACAGACTGCAGGAGAGGATACAGTGCTGTTGCAGAGAACTTGCTGTGATATGGGGATGGGTCTTTTTTCTTTTTTTTAATCCAGAAATTTTGAGTAAGCCTCTTGATTAATTTTCTGTGAAAGATTTTGCATTCGCTAGTTTAACATGTTGCCTTCCTCTTAAAATGATGTGGAAGAAAGCAACTTCAGTCCTAAAAAAACCCAACACCTTACCAAAAAAACCCACACAACAACAACAAAAAACCCAAACTAAAAACAAACAAAAAAAATCCCACCTCAATGCTCAATCCTTTTCTTTACTCCTTTCCTAAGGACTCTGAACTCATACTCCAACCATGCACTGCAGACTGACATGTAACTCGCTCCACAGGCACAGTTAGCTCTGACAGCAAGACTGTATTTTGAAGGGTTCCTGGGGAGTGGTGTAAGAGATCAGAGTTATCAGTATTTTGTCTGTTGGCAAATGATGTGATGAGACACATAAGTCTGTAAGACTGGGTGGCTTTCAGAGTAGGCCAGACAGCAGCTGCCTGGTCCGGCAAGAAGTTAAAGGTAGCAAAAAGGAAATCTTTATTATTAATCAGCAATAATTATTCCCTGTTAAAAGTGTCAAGAAAGGCAAATGTAATTCTCTCTGTATTTTACAGGGAGGGGAAGAAAAATTATTTCAGCCAACCCAATAATCTAGGGTAAGATTGGACCTATAAAAGACAGGAATTCCCTAAGCAGGGGAATTAATAAATCCTGGTTTCCAGTATCTTTCTCCCATATGAGAAGGAGAGAGCTGAGCTTATTAGACTTTCCCGTGGTAGTTGCAGTAGTACAACCTCTCTCATACCTGGCATCCGTTCTCACAAACAGTGAAGGATCTTAATGCCTTGGAGATCCCTATTTATCAGATAGAGACGAAAGCATACAACCGTAGTAGGGTTAAGGTCAGACAAGCCATGTGTGTAGGTACCTGTGTACATGTGCAGTGTAATTAAGTAAAATTGTTTCCTTAGGAAACCAAGCTAATAAAATGCAAATGTGAAAGGTGATGTGGCTTACAAGCTGGCAAGGCCAGTGTTTGAGATCATGCCTGGGATTCCTTACCCAGAAAACATTTTTCTAGCACCTTTCCTCTTTACCCAGAAATCCTGTTCCTTTTCAGATGTAAATGCACACTTCTCTTATTCGTAGATTTTATTTTATTTATTTTTTTTTAAACTTCTTGAAATTACATTTTGAATAATGGGAACTCTAGTGGAAAAACCAGGCAGGCTGTCCTCACCCTTATTATGCTTCATGAGTCTGCTTTCAAACCTCTGTCAAACTAGTCTTTGAAAAGAAGTGATTAATAATCGGCCAATAATGAAACACTTGGTTTAATTAGAACTGGCTAGAAGCATTTTATGTTTAATTGTCCTTCCAACAAACTTATGTACATTAAAATAAATAAACAAGTAATGAAATTGCTAGCATGTATATATATATATTTGATTTTATTTATTTTTAACCAAAAGTTCTGTGCTACGTATTTTGCTCTGAATTAGTCACTCCTGATTTTTTTAAGGATCCTTCTCCATATCCAAATCTCGAGACTCAGTGAAGACTATGCAGAAGCAGAGCTGATGTGAGGATGATTTAGTTATATGAGTTGCCAGTGCCCTGGAGTAAGGCAGTCTCTCTTCCTCCCTCCCTCCAGGCTAAATCTCATGGGATAAAGGTAGAAGAAATTCAGGTCCCCATCCTGATGCCCTAGCAGCCTCATGCCTCTTGTGCATGGTGGCTGTCACCTCGTTGGGAGGCAGGCTGCCCTTGCAAAATGGATCCTGTAGGGTTTGGAGGCTTGAGGTTATTAAGATGGTCCAGGGGGTTCTTCCATGGATCTGGCAGCTCTGCTCAGTGGGTCTCCTTCTGAAAGGATCTCTGTGTGTTTGAGGGGTGTCATTACTTGTCGGTGATAGTGTAAATCATTGCCACGGCACAGCCAGCCAACTGCTTCAGTGACAGAAGACGTGATGGGTCACTGCTGGGCGGCGGAGGGGGAGGGAACGACTTAAATGTTAGCATTTTTAATTGATGTAAAACAGAAGGGCAGTTAGGGAAGGTGTTTGCTGTGGAAAACCAGCAGTACCTCTTGCCTTGTGCTGGAGTAAGTGAGAAATGTTTGAGGCCTTTTAAGAAGGGGACTGTTTTGAGTCACCGTCACTCAGGCTCAAAAATAATTGAATTGTTGCAGAGTAACTTGATCGCTGATTTCAGACTTAAAATCACTGGCAGTTGGGTGCTATACAGATTCCTGGCTGCTGGAAATCGCTGTAGCTCTGCTGGCTTTTAGCATGAGGGCCCTCATCCCAGGGCTGACTCTGCGTGCAAGGGTATGTAGAAGGACCCAAGCATCCTAAAAGCCACATGTAGGAGAACTGCATTTTCCTGTCCTTGGTGGCACAAGCTAGCTTACTGGTGATCCTTAGCTTTGATGCAGATTGTCATCAGCTTCAGGTGTATGCATGCAGGCAGGAATCATCTCCTCTTTTCGTGCATGGTGTTCTCAGCTACTGGCAATGCATTGCTTAGTAAGAGTAAACAGTTTGCAGCTGAATACTGGCTTTTTTACAGAGGTAGCAGTTCTGTGCAAATGTAGGATTCTAGGTGATGGTACTTGCCTGGAGTTCAGTTTATACCTAAACTCTTACCTTTTCCACAGAACTGAAACTTGCATGTTAGCTCTAGGCTAGAGCCCAGATTAAGCTGGTTTTCATTCCATCATCTGAAAAGTAGAGCCCCCAAATATTGTTGCTGTCATAATTTTACTCCCATAAATTAACCATGAAATTAAGAACTTCTTTTTTCCTTTTTTTAAGCTAAGGATGTTACTTACATCTGCCCCTTCACTGGAGCAATCAGAGGAACCCTTACTGTTACCAATTATAGACTGTATTTTAAAAGCATGGAACGGGTAAGCTTTTGAAACCATCTGCTTTTGTGGGCTATTCAATTTTTAGACCTAGGTGTTCTTTGAGAGTAATTCTATGTGAATCATAGCTATGTGTTTGGGAATATAGGCATAAGGGAGCAGGAGCTGGGGATTTTTCCCCCTCCCCTTTTTAAACTCACAAATTTCAACTGTCTACAGGACCCTCCTTTTGTCCTAGATGCATCTTTAGGTGTAATCAACAGAGTGGAGAAAATTGGAGGTGCTTCCAGTCGCGGTGAAAATTCATACGGGCTGGAGATTGTATGCAAGGTAAACTTTTATCTGTGTTTTACAATAGGGGAAGGGGAACATATATTTTTAAAAGGTTTTCTCTGTAGTACTGTAGGAAGTTCTGCGAAACATTTCGGTCAGTATGACTTCACATACTTCAAAAAACATCTGATTTTAAAAGTAATTGTCAAGATTCTCCAGCTCCACTCATTCGAGACAAGATCCAAACCTTTATTCAGGCTTTGTGCTAGGTAATGTCTTTTCTTCATAGTGGAAACCTAGGCCTGCATCCCATTAATACAGTTCTCAGGGTTGCCCACCAGACTATCCCAGGAAGACTCCAGTCATTGTGGAGTACAGGATGCCTTTCACTCACTTGCATTTCAAGAGCAAGAAAGGGGCATGTTTCCCCCTAAATTGTTAGCTTATGTCCACCTGCTGCTGTGCTTTGTGGTGAGGGACTGGCAAGAAGCCTTCAGTGCTCCTCGAGGCCATTTAATTTCTTTCCAGGCAGTACATATTTCACGTGTCCCTCTCTAGAGCCCTTGGAATCAGTGGAAATGCAAACTTCAATAAAAATTAACAATTCGCCTCCTTGCGTCTACTTACTATGGACCCACAAAGTAGATAAAGCCACCATCTCTAGTCCTAAATCCATACCTCAGCTGTTCACCAGGGCATGGCCCCTCTGCTTCTCTCGGTGGCTATGTGGGGAGAGCTGGATTATGAACCTTGTAGGTCTTGGGCTGCTTGGAGCTCTTGTCAGAGTCCCCTCAAGGCTAAAAGGATGTCACTTTCTGGATAAGGGCAGATGGAGGAATGAAAATGAGTCCCAAACTGCTCCGGTCACTGCTGTGATTTTGAGGCACCAGGAAGCTAAGCAGGCTCTCAAGCTGTGGGCATGCTGAGTCAAGAGCAGTTGGTAGAATCTGTACCAAATCACCTAGCTGCTCCCTCATCCTGTTGCAGTCATGAACCTCCATGGCTAACGTAGGGGTGCTTGTGCTGGCAAGCTAATTTGTTCCCTGTTTCGACCTGGATTCCTAGTCCTCAGCCATTTTGCCTATATGCAAATTTGAACACACGGTCAGGTTTGGAGTGAACTATGTTGTTTCCCTGGGTGGAAAAGCCAGGCACAAGCTATATGATAGGTATCTTGGGCCTATACAGCATATATATATATGCACCAGCCTGCTTGGCCCAGGATATGCAGAACAGTTTAGTGTGATAACAGGGTAGTACAGATACAGCTTATGCATCCTGGAATGTTCTCTGTCTGAGACCAATTACCTGATCTCAGTCTTGTGAGACAGCTAAGTCTTTAGCTGTTTATCTCATTCTGTGACTTGCTGTACCATCTTCATATGCTTGAACTTGATAGCTCATTTCCTGCTGGTGGCTTTTAAACTGTTTACTACAAGTGTTTGAGTTGTAGGCTTGGCTGGAAAATCTTGGCATCTTAGAGATGCTTTATTTAGTTTCTGAGTTTGATTTTGTAGATGAGTACGGAAGGGAGGTCTTGGGTTACCACTCTTAGTGGAAACTGTGCTGCTGTGCAAAGTGGAGGAGTTGTCAGTTTCAGTCATCCTCTCTAGCGCTCTGAGAGATGGAAGCTTTAAAGGGAGATGGCATTGGTTGCTTTGCACCAAACTTGCTGGACTTGGGCTCCCTATGTGCAGTAGCTCTATGGAGGTACTTTGTGAGGCAGTCCCTTCTAGCTGTCTTCTGGCACAGCTCAGCCTGAGAGCCCAGTAAGAGCTAGGAGGTCTGTCTCACAAAGTCCTGCTGGTCAGCGATAGCTTGTCCCTGAGTGAGGCTCTCCCCTAGACTTTCAGCAGGTAGAGAGCTTCACGTGAAGGCAAGACGCTGCGACCAGGCATGCCCGTGCACTCCCTCTGCTCCTCTGCAGTTGTGGCAGGCTTTGTTGGAGGCTGCAGATGACCACTGAACCAAGCCCAGAGTTGCAGTACAACAGTGTTCAAAGTATGATATTAAATCAGTACGAGAAAGAGATGTGACCCTATTTTGAATGCTGGCTTTTGGATTTTCTTTGGATTTTGAAGTGGTTCAGGAATCTGAAATTTGATTTCCCTGTTTTTTTCCTAGGATATTCGAAACTTGAGATTTGCTCATAAGCCTGAAGGGAGAACTAGACGATCCATATTTGAGAACCTAATGAAATATGCTTTCCCAGTTTCAAATAATCTGGTAGGTATTTTCTTTTCAGTTTTTACCAAAAGACACAGAGTGGCAGTAAGCTGTTTTGTCCAGTCCCGTCTACTTGGTACAATGTTCACATGGGGTGCATTTTGTTGAAGGAGGAGAAATGCTGGTTTTTAAATCTGATTTAGAATTAATTCTGTAGGAGTTAAGATTGTATAGGAAACAGGAAAAGTCTGCTACCATGGGGCTGGATTCCTTCATGCATGGAGAATGACTTGCTGATACATCCTCGTAACAGAGGGAAAATATTCAAAGCACAGTGACATCCATCAGGGGTTTACAGCTAATGGTGACTGCACTGTCCCAAATCTGGAATACAGTTCATGTGCTCTGTTGTGTTATGACACTGCAATTGTTGCTTCAAATACTGGTTGAAAGGATCTAGTTCTTAATATGTAAGAGCATTCTTGCCCAAGTAGTCTTATCTTTCTCTCTTTAATAATAAACTCCTTTTGTCCATGAAGTACTTGGTAATAGACAAGCAAGATCAGGGGTACAGAGGAAGGTACCTTGTTGTACTAATTACCTGCTACAGCGAGCATGTTAATCTTTTTCACAAAGCCCTGAAAGAAAAGTAGTGCAGTGGGAAAAAAGAAGGACCAGTCATGAGTTATTATTTGAGATATCAAACATCCTGGAAATGGGCTCTGAGTGGGCTCTTAACGGTAAATTTTCTTTCTTTCAGCCACTTTTTGCATTTGAGTACAAAGAGGTTTTCCCAGAAAATGGATGGAAGGTATATGACCCCACTTGGGAGTACAGAAGACAGGTGGGTATTGTGCAATGTCCTTCCTCATCCTCTCTACTCTTCAGAAGTGAGACTCTGTGCAGTAATATAATTACAGGTCGCATGGAGCGGAGAATGATCCTGCTGACAAATGTGCAGGCTTGGTTAGGACATTGTTCTCCACACTGCAGTGATTGATGACAGCAGTACAGCTTTAGAGATAGTAGCATCCACTGATGGAGATTACTCAGGCTGCAGAGAGCTGACTTTAGGCTTTGGTAAAAAAAAACACTATTGCTCTGGCTTAGTCATCAGCCGCTGCTGGCAGTGAGAAACAGAGGATGCGTTTTGCAGGTACAGGCATCCCATTGTTGAATTTCACACCTCAGCTCTTGCTTGTATCAGTTTTAATTCTTTCCAGTTTTTCCTGTCTCAGACAGGAACTTGGAAGGAAAAAAATTAAATGTAGAATGCCTTCATTTTCTTGGGGAATCAGCATAGGGATCAACCTAGAGAGTGTTGTGATTAACCATAGCTTAGAACAGACAGTTGTAGTGTGTCCAGAGTAGACTGGTCAAAGGTATTAATGATCGTGAAGTGGCAGGCTGTCAATTAGGAATAGCATAGTGAAAACTTGAGTGGTCCTCCCTGGGGGAAAAGATGGGAGAATTTTGGGGTTTATAATGAAATCACTCTTGTCATAAAATTCTCAAGTAGAGGAAACGGCACAATTTGGTGACACGTTTGCCCTGGGCACAGTAAACTTCTGTCTCATCCAGATCTGCCAGGATAAAACCAATTTTCCTTTGTAAAATTAAGAAATTTTAAGCCATGTAATTTAAAGATTTATTTGGGTCTTTCCCATAAAACAAAACCAAACCAGGCCTCTGTCCTAGCCTAGTTACTGTTCATCTGATTGCTGGCATCCAAAACCTGAGGAAAGGATTCCTTTTTCTAGCTCTAGTCTTCTAAAAGCTGAGCGTGCCTTCTAACTTGGTTATCTAGGCCTGTCATTAACAGATGGGGAGAGAGCGCTTCGCTGTTGGGGGTGATTTGTTCCCTCCTAAAATAGCTGCCTAAGATAGATCGCTGGCTTCTAGGCTGCTAACTGAAAGTGAGATGTATCTTACCTCCGCTGTCTTCATTGCAAAAAAGTGTATGTTTTGCAATGAGATACCACAACCTAAATTCCTAGTAGAGACAAACTCCGATCATTTGTAATCAATGACACACGTTGTATCTAAGGTCGACTTTGACTAATAAGACCAGATAATGCAGCGATTATTGCTTCGTTTAGAATTTACCTCTTTCTTGGTAGTTATTTTAAGGAAAGATCTGTTTATAAAGAAGGATCTGCAACCCAAGCTGGCAAGATGCTTCTTTATAGGGCTGAGAACGTTGCAGTAAAGACTAAAGAATATCTGTGCTATCAAAATAATCTCCATTGAAAAGCACAGCATTCACTTAGCCAAGCTTCAGTTAAAACAGATGAAGTACAAAAGACATTCTTACAATGCCTGGAAAGAAGGAAGGGTGACCCTTGAGAATTTGGAGGTAAATTATTCCAATTTCTTAATCCTGGCATGTCTGGTTTTAGAATACAAGCTTTTCTGTCCATATTAGTTTTTATATTGTGATTGGCTGTACTTTAAATTTGGCAGGAGCTTGGTTACATGGTGAAAGGATACATATATTTACATGCATGTGATTTGCAGCTCTTCATGGCCTTTCTGTAAAGAAAATGAGACTCTGGGGCGTGGTGTCTTTGTTTCTGGTCACACGAGGTAACACTGTTGTGTGTAAAGCATGTCACAATTGAGACATTGCTGCAACGTGTACTTCTTTTGTTATGACCTGCTTTTATATCATTTTTGAGCAGACAGGAAAAACTTAGCCTGACTGCTTTTATGTCAAGAAACCAAACTAATGTCCGTATGCTGAAGCCCCCAGTCATTTACTTACATTGGTAACCGCCAAAATGAATCCAAACCAGGATTTTTTGCAGCCACGGCCTATCTGAATTTTACTCATGATGGGCCACAGTCATTCCCATTCCAGATCACGCAATCCATCTGTTCCAGTAGCTTATCTCCAAAAGTGACCAACACCAGCTGCTGAAGAAGAGGCGAACCGTACTGCAGTAGACGTTTATGTTGTGATCTGGCCAGGAGGAGAATTTCATCCCTTTCATTAGATTGATTTAGGTCCTGCAGCATGAAGCTTTATGTCCCCTCCAAAACTTTTAGGTATTTCAGTCTGTTTATTTAATTTCAGCATTTGTAACTATGGATGTTCAATTTATCTGTGTGAATGTCTTAGCCTTTTTTCTTAATCCAACCAGGTTCTGTTAAAGCAATAACAAATACTGCAGTAAATCAGGATTATGTCCTGAAATGGCAGCAGGGATTTGTTAACAGTGAAATAAAACTGGCATCATCAAATCAGATAATGGGATTACCTGTCTCTGACTGTTTGAATTGTGATCAGAAATAGAAAAACAGGACGTATGCACTATCTGCAGGACCATTTGCAATTGGTTTAAAAACTATTAGAGAAGAGCTGGCCTAGGGCATAAGCAGCCCAGCAGTACGGCCAGGCGTTAACTTGGTACATCTTAGGCCAGGTCAGTCATTTCCCTGTGGGAGCAGGGACACAAAGAGAGGGGAGCAGAGCAAAGGTAGAAGCCAACTACCAGGCACACAGAAAAGACTTTTAGAGTAGGATCCATGGTAGGATCTATGTCTACACTGGTAGACATGGCAAGTTTGTGTGTGGTATGATTTATTTATTATAATTTTTTTTCAGATTAATGTGAGTGTGTTGATATGATAGAGATTGTAGCAATTAGGAAAGATACTCAGTAAACCCTGACTTCTCTGTTAGCATTCTTGGGAAAGATGGAAATATGTAACTTATTAAAAATCTGTGATTGTGTAAAACTATGGGGAGTAATAAACAACCTGTAGAGAACAAAAGGAACTCAGAGAGGTTTGGGATTTAGTCGGTAAATGGAATCACATGTGGCAAATGAAATTTAAAACTGAAATTGCTCCCTGATTTTTATTACACGCGGGCTGGCAGAGTATAAAACAGAATTGCAAAGTGAATAAGACTCAGTTGAAACCAAAAGACCTTGAGATGCCTTTGGGGTAACTTAAAGCTTTCATTTTCTTTAACAAGGTGGGGAGCATTTGGAAAATATTACAAGGGGTTGTGAAGCTGGAAATGTGTGATGTTTCCCTACAGAAGTCATGCTCGTCTAATCCTATGCTCTGGTCATATGTACCAGGGAGCCACAGTATAGGGCTGTGGTTACTGCTTTCAGAGAAAACATACAGAAATTAATAATTCAGAAGAGGAGCTGACCTGTTTTGAGGATAAAAGAAGTGCCCAGCATTAGTATACAAGCAGAGTGGGAAAGGTAGAGCGTGAGAACAGCATCCTACAGAGGATTGTTGGGTGTAACTTAAGGGACTGAAATGAGAATTGAACTGTTAAATGTCCCATGGTTTAACTGAGGTCCTGCTTATGCTAGGTACGCCTCTACTGCAAAACAGATCACAGCTCTTTTGTGCTAAGTGGACACAACCTGGGCTGAGTATGTGGCAGAGGGACCAGCTTGGCTGTGTCAGTGTAGGGATGCGCCTGAGCTAATGTGCTCAGCCTCTTGGTATCTCATGGCTCAAACCATGTTTGAGAGAGGCACTGCTGGTGTGTAACTCGGGACCCTCCCTGCCTTGCCCGCTGCAGCTCAGGGTGTACCTGCGTGGCTAAGCTCAGAATCAGTCTACTGGACCCCCTAGAGAGATGTGACTGTGTGTAATTCCAGCAAGGAAATTATTTTTTTCCTGTCAGTGAAAGATCCTCATGTGCTTAAGCTTAAACATGTGCTTTGCAAGGTGGTGGTTTCAGTGCCATGCTGGTGTGTCTTCAACAGTTTTTCCCTGCAAACGAAGAAACTCCATTTTCTGCAACGTGCGTAGGTCAAGTGATAACTGAGCACAGGTCATTAACGTAAGGCATGAATGACTATCCAGAGGGAAACCAAGCCTGGTTTGTGTGCGGAGATGACACACAGGCTGCGTCTCTATGGTTAGATGATACAGTCATAAGGAGTGTTCCCAAGCACCGGGGCACCTTAATCGCAAGTTCCAGGCATAGCTTCAGTCCAGGCTGTTACCGTCCCTCTTTTGAGTGAGTGTGTTTGAGCGTCTTTAGCCATGCACAAAGATACTCTTCCAGCAAGATGTATGCAGGTTGAGAGTATGAAGCAATTATTTACTGGCTAACACACAAAAAAGATAGCCTAGCTACTAGGCTGAGCATTAGTACTCACCACCTCAGAGAAGGCATCTGAAGAGACTTTCCTGGCCAGGCAGGCACCAGTGAGAGGAGAAGGATCAGCCTCTGCACCTCCCTCAGTTGGGGGGTTGTTGCCATCTTCCACCAGTAATGTCAACACTAGCACACGGATGACCCAGCTGTTGGTCCTCACCCAATGACTGCTTACTAAACTCCCAGTTTTTCCTTTTGGATTTTATACCATTTCATGATGATGTTTTCCCTCTTGAAACCTTGAGCTACCAGCGATCACCATCTCAACAATTCTCTTCCTCTATCTGCAGTTTTACTTTTCTTGCCTTTCTATAAATTTTCACACAGCTCTTTCGCATGGCTTTGCAGTGTCCTTGGCAGTCTGAACCGTGGTTGTGCAGCTGGGCCATATCAGAGCTGGGACCTGAAGAGGCAGCTGGGCCCTTGTGGAGTAAAGAAGAAGGAGAACTTCCTCCAGGCCAGCTCGCCTGCTCCCAAACCTGGGCACAGTTCAGAGGCTGACGCAAGCCAAAGATCACCAGTAGGCAGTTCAGACAAACTGCCCTGTTTTGAGGATAAACAAGTTTAATAGCATGGATGTGAGGTGCAGTGTGCCAGCTGGTCTCAGTGAGAACGGTCCTGGGCACATTTAATTTATGACTATAGATGTGGCCATGTTGCCTTCCTCACTTTGCTCTCTGGCAGCAACCGAACCCGCGAGTTCCCCTGAAATGAGGATCTACTAGCAGTGTTAGTTTACCTGGAGAAGACAGACCTTGTGCACCAGTCAGGGCAGCATGCTCTGGTTACTACCGTGGACACCCAGCAGCTACATTCCCTAACAGCTTCTGATCATCACACCCACTGTTAGCGAGGCATGCCTGGGTTCCCCCTGCAGGTGCACAGGCAGGCAGCTCCCAGAGCTGGTCCTGAGCCTGCAGAGGCTTCTTGAGTTACATCTGTAACAGTTTGGGTTGGTTTGATAGTAGGCTTTTGGGTGCTTACAACTTTCCAGGAAGCAGTGAAATGCATCTTATATGAGGAAATACCAATGTGCTTTATATCACGTTTAGCTTTTTCTATTGATTCCAGCTGGAGAAAGTGCAAATCTGAAGGAGCGTGAATAAATGCACAAGCTACACTGCATGATGGCAAACGTCCTGGGAAGGTGCAAATTCAGCTCCTCTTCTAGCCTACTTTGCTTATTTCTGCTTGCTTCAAGTCCTTAGAGAAATCATAGAATCATTAAGGTTGGAAAAGACCTCTAAGATCATCAAGTCCAACCGTCGACCCAACACCACCATGCCCACTAAACCATGTCCCTAAGTGCCTCATCTACACGTCTTTTAAATACCTCCAGGGATGGGGACTCCACCACTTCCCTGGCAACTTGAGGCCATTTCCTCTTGTCCTATCGCTTGTTACTTGGGAGAAGAGACCGACCCCCACCTCGCTACAACCTCCTTTCAGGAAGTTGTAGAGGGCGATGAGATGAGGTCTCAGCCTCCTTTTCTCCAGGCTAAACAACCCCAGTTCCCTCCGCCACTCCTCATTTTAGTCATTTAGAAAGTCACGATCTGAATTCAGAGCCCTCTTTGGGTGGTGCTGTGATGCAAGGCTCCTGTGCCAGGGGAAAGCAGACATTCCTTGTGATTCAAAGGAAATTTGAATGCTAACACATAGCACCTTCTCTTTCTTTGAGGGATTGTCATGAATTTTCCTGGTCTGGGCTATTGCAAAGGAAAGGAAATTTGAATGCTAACACACAGCATCTTCTCTTTCTTTGAGGGATTTTCCTGGTCTGGGCTATTGCAAAGGAAAGATTTCATTCAAATTTGTCAGGGTGGCAGCTGAAAGACTTAGAGCTTTGGAGGTGTCGGTTCTGGATCGAGCAGCGTGTGCTGAAGCTGTTCTGCCCAGCACTGTGAAGAGGGTGCTTTATAGTGCCAGTGACTGCTTGATCTTTTCAGTGTGCACTGGTAGAGTTGCAGGGTAGAACAAAAAGGAGCTTTTCTTCCATGTAACTGCTTGTCAACTCCCATTTTCCTTGCCAAGAGTGTGCCGACAGCATAGTTTTAATTCAGATTTGGGGGAGGTGAAATCTCCAAGCATTGCTGATGGATCCATTGCAGTGCAGTCAGGTACTTACTAGGACAGGACTGAGAACAATTTAGTCATTTGCTGTTAGTTCACTTCCAGATAGTAACCAGTTTGATCACAACTGATGGACAGCTAAGAGCAAGAGTCTTGCTATTCCCTGGTTGACAGCAGAGCTGGTGGACCCAGGAGATTCCATCCTTGCTGTGTACAGCAGGTAGACCTCTGAGCATGTTTTACCCATCAGTAAGCTTGTGTATATACAGTGTGTATACACAATGTTTGATGCCTGTTTCTGCCATTCTTTGGCAGTGCCAAAAATAGCTTTCCTTTAGGGTTTTGGGGTACTTATCATCCTGGCAACTCTGCTGATTCCTTGTAGTAACATTTCCTTCCCAGGGAGGGCCCCAGGACCTCAGCAGGGTGTGACCGGTATTAGACAGAAGGTCTGTCCTCTCCTTGTATTTCTAACCATGACCTGTTTTGACAGTGTGACTCACCACTCTGACTGGGAACCGGCTGCAGTCTGTGTGGGTCAACCATAGTTACCACAGCTCGTCTGACTTGTGTTAGGTTTGCCATTTCTTTCCTGTGGGAGCCGCGACAGTGGTAATCAGTGTCCCACCACCCTCCTTAAAATGAAGTACTGTTTATTAGAACAGAAGCATGTATTGTTTTAAGAGCTGATGTTCTTCTAAATCAGACTCTCTGTTTAACAGTCTGGCTGTGTTCACTGCAGTAGATCTGTCTTCTCCACAGAGATGCTTTGTGTCAGTGCTCACCACTGCTGCATGTGTCTGTTTAAATCTCTCCTTGCAGGCATGCAGTAGCAACACCACCATTTTGATCTGTTAACTCCCAGCACTGGCGAAACTAAGTCTGCAGGTTGTCAGGATCCATCCCCATTGTGCTTCGGGTGTCACCTGGAGGTTGTCATCTGGGAAGCTGTTGAGTTGCTTCCCCATCAGGGCACACTGAGCTCGGTGATGTGTGTGTGTGTAGATTGCCTGCTCTCCCAGCCCAAGTCAGACTAGTACAACCAGAGAGCTTAGCCTGAGAGGAACATGGGAGTTGCACATCACTGTCCAGATCACATACAGTCATACAGCCAGAGACATACAATTATTAGGTTTCTGGTGTTTTTAGGGGATTGCACAGCTGTGCCACGAACACTGAACAACACCCAAAACAGATTGATTTTTTGGGGGTGTTTTACTGCCTGTTCTCCCTTCTGTCTTCCCCTCCATCCTGTCTGGTAACTCCACTTTCCATCCCCAGTTTTCACCACCACATTTGAGCTAAGTGCTGAGAGAGGAGTGAGGACTGTCGTTTACCCATCCTGTCCTGCTCCTGGCTCTCCTATAAGCACCATGATGAGACCAGGAGGTATGTTAAAGATGCCCTCAGGGGGATCACCTTTGTTGCCACATCTGTAGCCTCCACAGTTCCTTTGCCATAGGTGAGCCTGCCTGCAGTCTTCTACTTTTCCTGTTCTTCAGTGACCTGAGCAAAACATCTACCTCTCTGGGAAGAGGCATGAAATGCAAGTTACCAAGATAATGCAGTCCCAGGCTCCAGCCCTCAACATCCTTCATTAACAAAAGTTGCCTTGGATTTCAGGTCTGGGGATTTGACTGTGCTGAGGTCTCAGAGCAACTCATTTGCTAACCTGCTCTTGTTTCCTCTTTAGGGAGTTCCCAATGAAAGCTGGAGGTTGACCAAGATTAATGAGCGCTATGAGCTGTGTGATACATACCCTGCCATTCTAGCTGTGCCCGTAAGCATTCCTGATGAAGAATTGAAGAGAGTAGCATCTTTCAGATCAAGGGGACGCATACCAGTGAGTGTGACAAAAGAAGCCACTCTGTTGTGGTGTTGTTGCATACCTTTGGGCCATAAATAATACCAAGATCAGGCTGAGTGGATTCCAGGGAGTAAATAAATGGTCAATGGATAATAAAAGTGACAGCAACATGTTTGAGGAGTTAGAAAGCAACGTTATCTGCTGGAACTACTGTTGTGAAAGAGATGTAGACTAAACCAAAATGAGAAGATAACTTAGCACAACCCAGACCAAATCTCAGTTCCGTTCCTGGGAAACGCAAAGCAGCCCTATTTGGTTGTTTACAATTGTCTGGCCTACTCTGACTTTCAGGATAGAGGAATACTTGGTGATACCCTTGATGAAAATGCTTATTAAATGAAATGAAGACAAAACACATCGTTATGATGATTATTTCAGTGGTAACTGAAAATTTATTGTTTTACTTCTCAAGTCTATAGAAAATTAAATCTGTTCCTAAAGTGCTTAACTTTTACATGGTGTAACATAGAGTAAGACATAGCCCAGTGACTGCAGAGCGAGAAAATGTGACTCACACAACAGTGAGAAAACAGTCTGCAGCATATTTAAAAGTCAGACTTAAACCTATTCAGTCACCTCTTGTGAGTTCAAACTTTGGGAATGCCACCAGAATGAATGACGAAGGACAGAAGAGTTCGTTTGTTCTTTTTTTCAATTGTGATTTAATAGAATCCAGCCTTCTGGAACCAGCTAATACATGGCAGGATCCCAGAGCAAGCCATTAGAGGTAAAACACTTCACTGGTTTAATGAATCCCATTTTTTGTTCATTTCTTTCTCATTTGTTTCCAAAGGTGTTGTCATGGATTCACCCAGAAAGTCAAGCAACGATCACTCGCTGTAGCCAGCCAATGGTGGGAGTGAGTGGCAAGCGAAGCAAGGAAGATGAAAAGTACCTTCAAGCCATCATGGATTCTAATGCTCAGTCCCATAAAATCTTCATATTTGATGCAAGGCCTAGTGTGAATGCTGTAGCAAATAAGGTCAGGTGTTTTTTCCTCTGTCTAAAGCTGGGAAGGTAATAATTTAGAGCACATTTCCCACCGCCATTTCAAATTATTCCTGAGGATCACAAGGGGTTTTCCACTGTGAAGGGAATCATATGCAGTGATCTGATTCTCTAGACAGACTGTTACACCTGCACTGGTATCTGTAAGATATCAGTGTGACTACTAAAGGTCCATTTGGATTAATCTGCAAAGGGAAATGAGATTGGAAGGGGAAAAAAAATAATCAATAGTACTGACGTCAAACTCTAGCACCCTGGATCTTGTGTATTACCATTTTTCACTTCACATTGTTGCAAGTCTGCTTCCTCTAACAGCACCAGAACTCTGTCCCTGTTAACCCTGATGGGAGCAGGGGTTACGAGTAGCACTTCTGAAAATCAGGCATCATGATCTTTAATTTCAAAATATAAGCTGGGGATCTTTAACGTCTAGGAATGTTGCTGTGTTCTTCCTGCTGCTATGTCTCATGCCATCACTCTAAGCCTTGTTTTAATGGTAGAACTGCTTTGTTGCACTAAAGCTAATTTTTTTTTTTCTTTAATCTGTCTTTCCCACTACTTAGGAAAGGCAATTAGTGTGTGGGATATACTCCTCTATAATTGTATGGTAAATTTGTAAATGACAGAATAGTGAATCTAATGAGCTAGCAGCTTGAATGGGGATAAATGATAATTACAGAGAAAAAGAAGGCTTGTAATGTGATATTCTTTGGTAAAAATTATAGCATTCATTACTATTGCAGGAAAGTGACACAAAGTGTGTGCATGTACGTGTTTGTTCCCAATTGTAAGATAAATCGAATGTTTTCTGCCTGCTTTAGATAGCACAATCACTGTGGTATTTTGTCAGCTGATAGTTGCTCAGGACAAACAATTGGGATAAAATATAAAATATATTTTTGCTTAATGATTTTTATGTGGATTTTGTTCTTCAGGCTAAAGGAGGGGGCTATGAGAGTGAGGATGCCTATCAGAATGCAGAATTAGTGTTCCTGGACATTCACAATATTCATGTTATGAGAGAGTCGCTGAGAAAACTGAAGGAAATTGTGTATCCCAATATTGAGGAGACTCACTGGCTGTCTAATTTAGAGTCAACTCACTGGCTAGAGCATATCAAGGTATGCATGTCTGCATCCACTGGATGTGGCTGAGTAACCACAAGTCCGTACCGGTCTGTTCACTGGAAAATGTATCCAGAGCTAATTCCAGTGCTGGATTTTCAATTAATGAGAAATTTAAAGACTTACAATTTGTTTTCAGTTTAAAAACAGCTAAAACCACAGTTTCATGGAATGGGGAATTCTGAGGAGATGGGAAGAGAGGGGGTTGAAATACTGAAAGATGAGTGAGTACTGAATACTTTTGGAAGCGAAGTGTGTTCCTGGGTAATGTGTAACTGTGAAAGCCCTGGTTAGAGCACAGGAGTCACAGAGTCTCCAAGCTCTTGACTCAGGGATTCTCGACATCCTGGTGTTACTGCCTGGTCCAGACCAGCAAATGCTGGGAGTTCATGCCCCATCAGCCTTTCAGGATTCCAAGCAGAGTCAGAATGAGTGGGGCAAAATGCTTCAGCTTCTACAGATGTTGGTTTTCAAATTAAGCTCTTTCTCTCCTAAAAATGTCCAGCTTACATTGTCAACCTGCTAATGCAGACAGGGGCAAATCTGCTCCTGGAGCAGTTGCAAGGCGATGGCCATTTTGTGTTCGTGTTCAGACGCAGAATGCTCCTGCATTTAAATCTGACCTGTCCAAGGACTGAGCTTAATGTAAGAGCTCTTCTAGAGTTGTGCCTACACTACAGTTTAGATGTGTTGTCATCTTGCTGAAACAAAAAATGTGTTCACCAATTTGCTGTCCTAGTTATAAAGTAGTTGGAACTGATTTGCCATTCTCCTTGAGGCAGACAGAGCCCTTGGTTTGTCCTGTGTTGTCACTAGCCATTTTTCATTTATAGTTTCTGTTCCAAAGAGATTTTGTAACTTTTTTTTTTCCTTGTCCTAGCTCATTCTCGCTGGAGCCCTTCGGATTGCTGACAAGGTGGAGTCAGGGAAGACATCTGTGGTTGTACACTGCAGTGATGGCTGGGACCGGACAGCCCAGCTCACCTCTCTCTCTCTGCTCATGTTAGATGGCTACTACCGAACTATCAGGGGCTTTGAAGTGCTAGTGGAGAAGGAGTGGCTGAGCTTCGGCCACAGATTTCAGCTGGTGAGTCACTAGCCCTTGGAAGGCACTGAACAGACAGTTATTGTCCACCTTGAAGGATTTCAAAGGAGTTTAGCCTTTCCTGTGAGAAGTCTCCCAGCTGAAATCGCAGAAGAAAGGTGAATGCTGCTGCTATTGTTTTCTGCCTGTAATTCCAGTCATCTCTTAACCTCCTTGGAGACAGTATTGGTTAGATAGGAGGAACAGGTGGTATTAAATCTCTCAGGTGCCTGACTGGTATGTCGTGTTCCCATGCTTAGGCTTAAACTAACAGTGTGCTCTGGGTTCAGGATAGGCATTTCTGCTGGGAGTTGGCAGAGACCACTGGGGTATTTTTTGTCTTTCTTTCTAGTTCAGTCCATTTTCTGAGACTGCTTGGACATGGTCATCTAACAAATGCCTTGGTATTGAAGAGGCTGGGGAATTTTTGGTTATGGCCTTGGCCTCACATTTTCTTCAGGCACATTTTATTTTTGGGGAGGCTTTTAATTGTTTAGGTAAAAGATCAGCAGTTTGAGACTGGACCAAGAGTAGCTCGTGGTTGTGTCCCTAGTGTCAGCAGAAGCGCAGCCTGTGGACCTGTGACACAGCAGTTTGTTACGGTTTGCCCTGATGGGAATTGAGAGAGCCTTTCAGTAGTACCCTTTCAGTCTTTGTTCCTATTGTGTTTTGCTTGTAGCTCTTCTCTTGTGGTCATTGAATTTTGGCAAGGGCTAGAACAAGGTCTGTTTACAGCACATGCGATGGTGGGTTGCATAGTCAAATGCTCTGACGAAGGTGGGGAAACTGAGGCACTAAGCAACTGAGGTTCTGCTGCAGCAAAACTGTTATCTGGTGTTTGAACTGTGAGTATTTTAGCTTCCCTGTCTATACAAAGAAGATAATGATATTGATTTCCTTTGGTGAGGGGAGAACAGTATTACAGAAGAGGTAGGGATCTCTGTTACTTACATGTTCTTATTCTGTCTTTTTACAGTACTGAGGGCTCCTGGGTAATATATAACCAGTAACGTACTATGCTAGTTATAAGGAATCAGGCCTCACATGTCTTATCCAAGGCCACACAGCATGGTCAGGGCTGGAGGCCTACTTCTGGGGATACTTTCATCACTGCCTCTCTTGAGGTGGCAGGAGATGGGCTGGGCTAGTGTTTGTACAGCGCTTGGAAGCTGCGAGGTGTTGCGTGATGGTTATCGCCACATGCCGTGCCTGTAGGTAGTGTTTAGATCTAGCACACTGTACTACTGAAGTAGCCAGGACGACAGCTGCAACTGAAGCAAAAAGCATTCTCAATTTTTTTCCTTCTGAACTTTAGCAATGAAACTGAAATCAGTGCCAGCATAGCATCTGGAGCCTCTACTCAAACAACTCTTGTTTTAATTTAGCATGAAAATATCCCCATAAAAAAATTTCACTTCAAAGACGAAAGGAGTAGCTGTCCTTTACTCCTTTACCCACTGATACAGACAAAGCAAAATCAGGACTCATTTGAACCTTCTTAAAGCTGTTGGTAAAGGCTTGGCTGACTGAGAGGAGACCCCAGCAGTTTCCCCATGAAGCCCCGTGTGACTCATGTTCTTTGTCCTGCTCTGTTTCAGAGAGTTGGCCATGGAGATAAGAATCATGCAGACGCGGATCGCTCCCCTGTCTTCCTCCAGTTCATCGACTGTGTCTGGCAAATGACAAGACAGGTAAATTGCTGGGTGGCACATGTGTCCACAAAGCCACTGTACCAAGACGTGGCACAGCGTGGCCAAGATCTGGCCACAGGAGTCATTTCCAAGCTGATCTGCACAGGCTCTCCTTCTGGGCATCTACTCTTTTCTTGACTCTGGCAACAAGTTTCTTGGGAGTCTGTTTAGCAAAGAGCCTGAATGCACAAGTGCACAGGAAGGCCACGATGTCGGCTTGCATCAGATTAGCTAGTTAGTGGGTGCTGCTTACATACATGCTGTTACAATAAATGTGAGCTTGTGAGAAGAAGCTTGCTTCACCCTGAAATAGGGGACAGCTGCCTCACATTTATGACGGGCAGGAACAGACACCCCAGCCATCCTCACTAGCCCACTGTGCCTTCAGAAGCATAAGTGACTTGAGCTGCTAATGTAAGTCTCTAGCATGGTGGGTGCACACAGGATCCCTGTTGCCTCTGCTCAAGCTGATCCCATAAGCAAACCTTCAGGGATACTTGCATTTGCTCCATTTTAACTTCTTTGCAAGGCAAACATACTGCTCCAGATTCATACTTGAGGCATAGAGCCAGGAGCTGAGGTCCTTGTTCAGACCGAGCATGGCAGAGGCACAGTTCAGGAGAGATACCCTATGGCTGGGAGGTTTTTCCCCCAGGTATGTAGGACCTGGAATGTTTTTTGTGTCTGCTGTGATCTTTGTGCCGCATTTTAAGCAAATGTCAGCCACGGTCAGGCAGTTCTTTGAAAAAATTAGGCTCATCATGGACTAAAACAGGTGAAATGGGAAAGGATGCCACTATATAGGAAGCTGTACTGTGTCCAAGCAGAGGAAGAGGGAGGCTTTACTATCATAAAAAGTCACTTTCTTCATGCTATCCTTGGATCGCTCCTAGAAACAGGCATCCTGACCTGCTGGTGAGGTCAGGGTGTTGCAAGCAGGGCAGCCTGGGAAGAGAAGGGTGGTTTGTGAGGGAGGAAGGCCTCCTGCTCTCCTCTCCATCGGTCCAGCGTGTCTTTGCAGTTTATTGCATGTATTCTTACTGACCCTTTGTGGAGCTTCAGTTCTCCCTGTCTTGGGTCTGATTGTTTCTGCGTGGAACGTCAACAGCAAACACAGACCCTACCCATACACCTGTTCCTCCCGCTGACCTGTGTTGCAAGATGCCTCCCTGCTATTCCCTCTGGAAAGCGCTCTGTTGTGCACACAGGTTATTTCCATTTGGCCCCGGGAAATTTCCATTTCTTTTTATGCATTATTTCACATATGCTTCAGCCTTTTGTTCACAGTCTCGTGTGGTCTGTTGTTAGGGGCAGGCATAGCAGAGCAAGCTTCAACTTGAAGCAGCACTGAGTGTGTATAAACACAGCGGTCAAACCCTTCAGACCTCTGGCTTTTGCTCAAAATTCCTCTCTGCGCATGTAAAGCAGCTTTCCAAGAGAGAAACTCTTGCTCCTGGAAGGAGCAAATATGATCCTGAATATTCCACCAGGCAAAGAACAGAGACAAATTGTGGTTTAGAAACAAAAGAAGAGAGGCCAACTCCTTACCAAGACCACAAAGTGGGAGAAAGTTTATTCACAATTCCTGTTCTAAAATCCCAACTTAATTTTCTGGTTCTGTCTTAAGTTTCCTACAGCATTTGAGTTCAACGAGTACTTCCTGATAACCATCCTGGATCACCTGTACAGCTGTTTGTTTGGGACCTTCCTGTACAGCAGTGAGCAGCAGAGAGTGAAGGAGGTAAGAGAGCTTCTCTCCAAGGTGAAGGCATGGTACTGTGATTGCTTTAGCTGGCCAGATAATGCTAGAGAAGTTGTTTCAGCACTCAAAGATAGTGGTGGATGCAGGTCTGGGTAATGCCAAGCTCTCTTCTTAACCTCTGGGACACGGGGTATTTTCCTCTTTGTGCAAACTGCTGTCTGTTGGAGACTTCACATTTCAGAGCAATGCCATTTCCCTCTGGACAGTCCCACTGCTTTCAGCATGGCTTTCAGCTACTCACTGGGGGCTGAATAGCTCCTGCTGTCTCCCGAGTAGTTGGAAATGCAATTTTTCTTTGAACTCCAGTTTAATGTAACCTTCTCTGTGGAAACTGGTACCTTTTTGCCCTCCCTTTTCCTTGCAGCGTTCCTGTTAAAATCAACCTAATTACCAAGCGCGTATTGTCATTCTGCACACACAGGTTACAGCAAGTAACTGGTCTCAGTGTGTGTTCTTGCTGTGCTTGCATTTTTCCAGGAGAGGACAGAGGTGCTAGTATTAGGAAGGACATGCCTCTAGGTCCTGCCACCAGCCAGCTCTGCCCTGCAGTCTGGTTGAGGTTTGTTTGCCAAGGGAGGAGCGTATAGATGTGTACCTTCAGACCATTTGAACACTACCCTATTCAGACCCAGTCTGGAATCAGAAGGAAAAGCAGTGACACTCATTCTGTCTCACCTACCTAAAGATGAAGCATTTTGTCACCAAAAGGTTGCAGCCTAACATCACAGACGTACATTGAGGACAGTGCTGTGTGGACCCGATGTGATTATATTTGATAGCACATCAGTTAAAAAATAATAATAAATTATTGTAATACAGAAGTGATAGCATTGTACTGTAGTGAAATCAGGGTCCCTGTTTCTCTAGAGTCCACAGTGATTAAATAATTGTAATTTCCAGAGAAGAAAACCTGCGTGCTGTTTGCATGTGGGTTTTGGGGGGGTTTTTTAAGGCCTCAGCCTAGTGAAGTCCTTAATCTAGAAAGCACTTCAACACAGGTTTCACTGGGACTATTCACGGGCCTAATTATTCCACTAGATCAGGGCTAAGTCAAATGTTTTTTTTTTTTACTTGGGTTGTTTTTTTTTTCCAATTAAATGCTTCAGCAAGTCCTCCAGGAGCACTTTAAAGAGGTGAAGTTTAACTAAAGCATTGAGAGTTCACATGCCAGTCGTCCCCTTGCTGTGCCGATGGCGGTTCCTGGTCTGTGTTGGCAGCTGGGTGGGTAAAAGAGGATGTTTCCGTTCCAGGGTGCGTGTGTGCCTGCCTGCCTCCGTGTGCTTTGATTACAATAACCACATTAAAAGAACGTTGGGTTTTTTTAAGCTACAAAAAGGCAACCAGCTCTGTATTAATGACAGGCATATGTATATGCTGTTATATATACTTTGTAGATAAATGCTGGGATTCGTATGGGAAATAAAGCCTCCTCCACCCCCTTCCTTTACAGAGCCTTCCAAAAAAGACTGTGTCACTCTGGTCTTACATCAACAGCCAACTGGAAGACTTCACTAACCCCTTGTACGTGAGCTACTCCAACCACGTCCTGTATCCCGTGGCCAGCATGCGCCACCTCGAGCTGTGGGTCGGCTACTACATCCGCTGGAACCCCAGGATGAAACCACAGGTATTCCTCTTCCAAGGATCCTGCTTTTATTTCCCTTTCTGCTAGTACTAATACTGTCATTTTGGAGCTCAAGACCTTTGAAGCACAAGAGGTAATGTACAAACTTACACTGCCACCGCTTAAATCTAAAAACAAAAGCCTAAATTCAAATGCAAGTAAATGAAAGAGCAGCATCTACAGCTGGCTGGCGCGGGTGGTCAGCTGGAGGTTGCCGCCTCGTGAAATCTGTAGGAGCTGAAGATACTCAGCAGTTTGGAAAATTTCTCACTTATAATATGGGGAAAATCATCCGAATTCTCTCTTCTTCACAAAAGAGCCTAAAAACCTAAGACGACTTTGGATGTGGGATTCTAGATCTGAGCTTTGGGGCTGTATTTCGATTCCTGGCAACAGGAACCCGCTGCTTGTTTTGGCTGCCCAAGGCACGCAGGGGTCTGACTGCAACCCGTGTTATGCTCTTGACCGCTGACAGCAGGGAAACTGGCGTGGGCAGGGCAGGCACCTGAGACAAGCAGCCTGAACACGGCCCTGAATGCTGAAATCACTTTTTCATAGGAAGGGACAAAAATTCCTGGATTGCCTCCATGTCCAACTGCAGTTAACAGAGCTTTGCAAATCTGGGGCATTAGATACAGGAACCCAACAAATGCTTTCCAGTACTATCTGTTTAACAATCAGAACTATGTGAAAATATTTAGATAAATCTGTATTGGGTTTTTTTCCCCCAAAGCCCTGAAATTATGTCCAGGCTGAGATGCCAAGGCCAGCGTCCCCCAGAAATGCCAGAGATAAGTGTTCTGTAATTGCCATCTTTTGAAATACACACGAAGTTTTGATTAGCCACCATTGCACTATGCGTGTTGGATAAAATGAGTATCCCAAAGCCAGAGCAACTACTTGCCCCTGGGCTGGAGACAGTGATATAACCCACGTACCACCCCTCCTTCCCTCACAGCTGTGTGCCAGGTCAGCGGCAACGTTTTGCGGTTCAGGCTTCCACTTCCATGCTTGCCTCCTAGCACTCAGCTACACGTTTTCTTGCAGGAACCTGTCCACAATCGCTACAAGGAGCTTCTTGCCAAGCGGGCTGAGCTGCAGAAGAAAGTGGAGGAACTGCAGAGAGAAATCACCAACCGTTCCACCTCGTCCTCGGAGAGAGCTGGCTCTCCCGCACAGTGCGTCGCTCCTGTACAGACAGTTGTATAATATGGACTTTTTTTGCCAAGTACCTTCCCAGGACCATGGGGGCAGCTTTTGTGAAACCCTCTGGATTTCCAGCGTGGTGTCTGGGAGATGCCAACCTATTTATTTATTTCTTTCCAGGGTAATTTATTAGTACTGTAGCACTAGAGGAAGCTTAAGCAAAAACAAACAAGGCCCCCTATGCAATTAACCTTCTCAGTGGCTAGATTATAATACAAGCTAATTGCACTTGTCACCTAAAAGAAACCTAGAGCTCTTTCTTTGTTCACTTATGTGCTGGAAATCACTTGGCTTTAAAGAGAGACTGTGCACTAGAATGAAGTACTGTGGAGGAAAAACATCTACTTGCAAGTTTGAAAAACCTCCCCTTTGCTAAAAGGAAATACCAACTCTGACTTTGTACTGGAGCCTAGAATACAGCTGTAAGTCACGAAACCCTCCACTGTTCATGTCTGCAGAACAGTGTTAATGAGAGCACTTGCAACGTACTTAGAGCAAGCAGCGATAGCATCTGAAGCATACCACTGTTCTGGCTTTTCCCTTCACTTTGATCTAGATCATAGGAAGCCATGTAAATGATGCCTTATTTAAAGAAAGGGCAGCTTCTACCAATAAAACATGGTGGTAGAGGAGCGACCTACGTGACTTGACTTAACTTTGTAGGACAAAGTTTACTTCCATCTCTGCAGCTTTAGAGTCTCGCTTATGGTTTACATTGAGTGTGCCAGGATGCAACTTAAGCACCTTTATTTCCGAGGGGGGAAGCAGAGCATGGCTCCCCTGGGCTTTCTGCAGCTCCTCTGTCCTCCAGTGCCTCATACTCATCAGGGGAAAGGTAGTGGAATACCAAGGGGCACGTGTGAACTGCTGGGATCAGTCATTTCACTTCGCTTGGGTAAGCAAAATCAGTGATTTTAATGCTTCTGTGCAGGATCATAGTGGCATACTTAAGGTGTTTCAGTTTTCTGTTAACTAATGGAAGCAACCGTCTTATCAACCAAAGAAGCCTTTCTGCCTGCGTTGCAACTGCTACTTAAGGTTATTCTGGTAGACTAAACAGCTTAGCCAGTTTCTGAGCCCTGTGTTTAGGTCTTTTTCCTCATAGCATACTTCAAGAATTAGCGCCACCTGACTAAACTTAAGTCCAAATTAAATTTTAATACAAAATTTTACTGTAGAAGTGGAGATAAAAACCACACTTGGTGAAACCATGACTGCCCCATTGCTCTTCCAAACAGGTAAGTACGGGGTTGTACAAGATAGGGCTCACAGCAAAGGAAGTTATGTGTGTGCAAGGATCTTTCTTTACTCCAGGCTGCTTTTCACCTCTGTGCTAAAGGAAGAGGGGCGCTGCTTGGTCTGGGTTCCTGTGTTGCTCTTTTATGATAGGATCCCCTACTGTGGTCACCTGTTTAATACACCCATCAGCATGCTTCTTTCTTTACTCAGCTGCTCTTCCACGAGAGAGAAGTTACTTTTTGAGAGAGTACAAGAATGGACCAATTTACACATGTGAAATTGCCTTTCAAAAGCCACATTCCTTCCAAGGCTGTAACAATAATTTCCCCCTGCAGTCTCCATTTCTGCCCGCTCTACTGCAGTCAGCGTCTCAGTCCTTACACAGAAATCCACAGCCACCTTCTGACAGAACGAGTAACAGGCTGTATAGCATCACTGCATTTGTTATAGGGTGGCCCGAGACATTATGGTTCGACAGTGCAAAGAATCCACACAAAATACCTTCTGAAGGACTTGGATTTGCTTTAAGGTTAAAGGGCAGATCTGCTCTTATGTACAATCACTATATAAGATGGTTCATAGCATTATTCTCCATTAGCAAATCGACTATGTGTGTATAGTTTGTTCCTTGATGAAGGCTGTTCCGTTTCCTTAAGACTAATAAAAATTGATAAATGGGTAAAGTTCCTGTGCTCTTATTTTCAACTATGTGGTTCTCCAAAGGATGTGTAGGACATGCAAACATTAATAAAATAGTACTGAAAATTTAGTATGATGTCGAATTCAAGTCTCTCTCATTCTTCTGCAGATGGTCTTGCAAGATGCTAATGTTCAAACTGAAATTTAGAATGACAGGAAAACAAAATTCATCTTTGGACAAGTTTCTCTTATCCTATACAGACCAGTATTAATACAGATACAGTGCTTAGCTGCTCAATATTACAAAAATACTTTCACAATAAAAAAAAACCCAAATAATTTCTGTACTTTACAGTGCATTAGCACAGTAACTTCTGTGTAAAAGGAGGATTCACATTTTCCTATGTATGTAACTCATGTTAAGCCCAAATTCACTGGGACGATTTGGGATCAACTCAATGCCTGCTCCTCGATGCTCTCGCCCCTAGGAGGCTGAATTCCAACTTGGCACCTCATTCACTGTATGCAGCGCGTATGGAGCCTAAAATACTCCTAAGCCCTCCATCATTAAGGAGCTGCACCTTCAGCTCATCTAAGACAGCCTGAGGTAATGCTGACGTTAACCCATCTTTGAGCAAGCTGCTCCCCAGAGATCCTTCCCAAGCAAAACTACCGAGTGTAGTTTCAGCTACTGATGTTTAGGAACCTCTGGGATGAACTGCTCTCCAAGTGGTTACTCCAGGTACCTGGAGCCCATGTCTCGTAACCTAAATGAAGTTAAAGGGGATGGCTCCAGGCCTGGTTAACGGCTTCCGACTTCTCCCCTCACAGCTAAAACCTTCTGTGCCTCGGAAGCAAGGAGGCAAGCAGGGTGGATCACCTACAGATAATTAAAACTCAAGTCCCTTCTGCCTGCGTTGCCCATTAGCCATAGGCAAGGGTGGACAACGCTCAGCCTCACCTTCCCTGTGGTTTGCTAGCAGCTTGCATTCATCATCCCAACCAGGGAGATGTCACGTCACCACAAAAAGCACACCGGATGGGGCACCGTGCTGCAGCAAACACTGAGTTAATTTGGAGGAAGGGCAGGTTTCCCACAATTCATTCAACAGCTGGCTTTATTATTTTTCAACTGTATAAACGGATAATCTGGGTCTTCTATACATTCCAGTAATAGGAAATTCTTTACATTATTAACATAATAAATAACATTTACTCAGCTGTGCAAGTCAAGAGTGCAAAATGAATTGCACCACTACCAAAGTAGACAGCTCATCAAAGCACATATTTCAAGTTAAAAGCAAGATGCCAGGACCAAATGGCATGATTGAGGCACTTGCAGTTTAAAACACTTGTGGTTTATCTCATCTCACTCCTTTACCACCCAAAGCTGTGGACAAGGAGACAGGATGGTATCCCCTATCCTATAGCTTTTTCCTTAAGTAGGACTTCTGTAGAAAAAATTCACTCTTCAGACTTGAAAAGAATTCAGTCAATCATTACGCAAAATCATTCCAAAAAGTTATTTTGCTCCTTTTCTGAGTTCTCAAACATCCACTGCCATTAATGCTGACTAATGCGGTGTAGCAGAACAAGAACTAGGAAAGCTTTTTGAGGAGCGCTCCGTAGAACACCTTTGACAGGTTTACCTGTCCTCCCCCTTAGACACTCTTGGAGTTTGAGTAATTGCAGCTGCACACAGAACAGAACTGACAAAAGCCCGTAAGACTCGGGACCCAGCATCATTTTCAACAGGATGCATCTTGAGAAGCCTCCCAATGCGCAGTTCAACAGTAGGATGAAATCGCACTGGCATTCCACACACACCAACCCACACGTATGTGCAGTGCTTGGTGTGCTGAAAGAAAATGGAGGGACTGCTGGAACCATAACACGAAAGGAACTGCTGGAGACCTATGTTCAGATTCGGTGTCTGGGTACCTCAAAAATGGAATGTGTGTTAAACTAGACCATAATATATACAATCAAACCCAGGGATGGAGAATTAAGGGCCCATATTTCAAAAGTGCACTTAGCATACAGTAGTCTCTTTCACATAGCAAGAAAGGCAGCTGCTTTAATTCCAGAACATGAGGAAGTTTGACCGGGATGGAGTCAAGAACATCTCCTGCAGAACAGTCAGTAGTCCCAGCTGATATCATCTTTCTGTAGTGAAGTCTGTATGGTCTGCATGTCTCTCAACAACTGAAGATTCTTCCGACTCTTCTCTCCAGGTTTCACTTTGATGGGACCAGCATTCTTCCCTTTTGTGGTTACTGTAGTTGTTACTTTAACCTCACTAACAGGGAACCTGCTGTCTTTTATTTGTTTAGCAGAAGTCTTTTTGGACTTGCATTCTCTCTTAAGTCTCTCTAGCTGAAAGAGAAACCCAAAGAAAAACATTAAACTTAAACAAGGTCACTGCTTATGTTGCACAATTATTCCAGACGGCTGAAATACCCCACCACTCATCTCACCCAGCTAAGCAAATGGATGCTCCCAAGTCCCCCTGAATAATAAATATTTTGTTTTCCTTACACAGCATTGCTATTTTAGCATCTTTAGAACTGTGTTCAGCTTATAGTCTGAACGACTAGGTTATCTCTTTAAACACTGACAAATTGATTTTGGGGGAATGTCTCCATCATGAACGTAATAGAAAAAGTTATATATGACAGAAAGTTGATTTGTCACTGTTACCATCCAGTGATTAAAAAACAAAAAACAAACAGACATTTTTCTACACACATACTGGTGATTTTAATAGCTAGTCACCATCAGAGATGTAGCTTTAAAAAGAACACCAAACTCTGCTGAGGTGAAGAACTGGTATCCACACACAGCACTAAAGACTCAGTACTCTGCAACAAGGACTGAGCTGCCATAAGCTTCAACGGGGAACTGGACAGTCTAAGGTGCAGACACATTCATATTCTCAAACTGCAAAATGGCTGGCTTCCACGGTTCCCCTCACCTCAGGTAGTGGTGCTCCCTCCTCCTCCTTTATAGCATGCAGCAATTTCCCTAAACGCTGACTGTGGAAACTTTTGCCAATAGCTAGTCAGAAGCCTCAGTATATGCAGAATCATTACTACTGGGAACTGCTACACATCCATTTCTCTGCAACAGTTCCTCTGAAGATCGTAAGAGATCAAAGGTGAGTAATGCTGCTGTTTGAAAACATTTTGGACATCAGCAGCAGTGCTCTCGGTACATATTTTGTGCCTAAGTTACATCAGATGAGGGTGAATCGTGGTTCATACAAACTGAACCAGATTAAACACAAGGGGTTAAGCTCTTTGGAAGAATTTCACTAAAATGAATGAAGATTACAGAAAATAGGGAATCGACAGGGTTTATAGCTTTGAATGAACAGGCTACACTATTCAAAACATTTTGAAAGTTGTTTTAAACTGAAACAGGTATTTCAGGTTTTATAAAATGCAAATCAAAACATAAATAGGTCATTTACTCCAAGCAAAGGAGAACCGTTAAAAGATTCAGCTCAACAGTGAAAGCCCCTGGGAATCTAGGTATCTCTCTAAATACAGTTTAGGTTACTCTAAGTTCATTGTGAAGAACAGCATTTCACAAGGGCTTTCCCCTGCTATCTGTGCAGCTGGTTGTCACTAGGCACCTCACGCAAAGCGGTTGCTTTGGTTCAGCACAGCTCTTTGACGCATGCCAGGAGTGAGTGTGACTGATCAGAACACAGGTATCTCCTGACACATCAGATATCCGACCAGAAACATCTCCCAGACCGACTGCCGGGGGCCCAGAAGTAGGCTCACACCTTTCAGCCCTATACACTGTTTCTCATCTTGTGTATTGCCCAACCAGCTTATGCTGTGTTTACAGAATTCAACAGCTGTGGGATTTGCTATCGCACAGTGGACGATCTTTTCCCTGTTTTGGGGATGAAAGGAGTGTAAAATGCAATGCAAGAACAGATGTGAAAGCTCTGCCCAGGACAGGATGAAGAGTGGGCACAAGGGTGACACGGTAAGACAGAAAGGATACTCCTGCAGAAATACTGGGATAGAAAGGTGGAGGTATGCAGAGTAACTTTGGGACGTCAAAGCTAAAGCTAGGCACTACTGCTCTACAGTAGTTATTTCTGCTTTATTCAGTTACTGCTAAATTAGGATAGAACTCAAAAAAACCCCACTTAAGATAGCAACTCTACAGAAACATGAACATAGTAAAAAGTAACTGACCTGCAACCGATGTCTCCGGACTTTGCTGATCTGGTCTGCCTTTGCTTCCATCTTTCCCACCAGTGCCTCAAGTTCCCTCTCCAGATCTTCCCTCACTGCAATGGTTGGGGCTTCCTGGGCAAGCTTTGACAGCTGCTGGTGATCACTGGCATGGAATTCAGATAGAACAAAGCTTGCATCAGACTCCCTTGGCTTCTAGTGCTTGTACACCCAGTTCAGAAGTAACACTTCTAGGAAACCACAGCATCAGCAGCCAGACATATTAAACATGCCATAACGAACCAGTAAGAACAGTTTGCTGGTTAGCAGCATTATTACGGTAGCACATCCTGGTGGCAAGGCTGCTGCAACGTCAAGTCTCAATAACATAAGTAGCTTCACACATTCAAAATGACCAAATAACCCCTTGAGGGCATGATCTCAGCACTCGTTCAGGTACTATTTTGCCTATCTGTATCTACTGCAGTAGGATAACAATTCGTGTTCTGTTAACCAGGACAAGCAAAATGACTAGTAAAGCTGTCCTTTAATGGAGTATTTGTCCATTGCATCAGGGGCTGTTACCAGACTTCTCCCCGACCCCTCACAAATTTTATACTGCTGCATATAAAAACAGGTATGCAGTCCAGATTGTTTATCAGAATTTATTTTTAACCGCAAAAATAAATGACAGCCTCTGCAGCCAGTAGAACAGAGAGATTACAGGCCAGAGACTTCCCAAAACTAACTCCTTTCTCAGGAAAAACCTTCCAACGTTAAAGCAAAAGGCAAAAATATAAAGCATCTATGTTCATAACCTGCAATGGAGAATATGCCAAACTC